CAAGGACTCAAATAGAAAGTAATGTTTAGAAAATAATGATGGAAACATATGTACAAATATGCTTGATACAATTTATGTATGGAATATCAGAGCTGTAAGATTCCCCCAATAAAATGATCTTTAGAAGAACGAGAAAAAGAAGAACAGGCCTGAATATTCCAAAGAAGTATAGAATTTGACCCATAGGAGAATACAAAGAATCTCAGCGATTGGAGAGGAAAACCAATACCTGTTCATGTAATACCTTAATGACCTAGGTGTAGAATTTAGCTAGCAAAGCAAATTCCTATCTTTTTAAACTCTAACTCAGTGATTTAGTAGATTATCTCCTAAAGATCCACTCACTGCTCCCAGATTGTTGTTGCCCAGTGTCTTCAACATCACAGAAGAGTTAAAAGTATATTTCAAAGACTTTTTCTCTCTTCTATACACAGTGATTTAGAAGATCCATAGTGCTCTTTGAAATATTTTGTTTTGGTGTTTAAATTAAGGATATTAGTACTTTATTTTACAGGTACTGTAAAATATAACACCTAGTGGACTTCTAATTTGGGGGGAGTTAAGAATGCCTTTCCTTTCCCTGCCTAATCTTAGAGAAGGTGAATTTTCTTTTAAATTAGAATAAGAATGATACTCAACCCAATTGAAAATATAATAGGGATAATAAGACAATTGAAAGGAGAGAGAAATTGGTATAAAGTAACTTAAGAGGTTGAACATGGAAAATTTCATAAAAAGAACCAGCCCTCTTTCTTTATCTTTGGTAACTCCTATTTTCTATATTCTAAGATTTTTATCTATGTAGTTCCTTAACATAAAAATATTAACATGAAAATTATCTCTAAGCACACAGATTGATATTTTAGTCTCTTGATTATTTTTATATTGTGTTTCTTTCACTTATTTACAAATTGAGTAGTTCAACTTCTGCAAAATAGAAACATATTATTTAGATAAGATATATGGATAAGAAAAGCATAGTTTGTCATAAGTTGGTACAATCAAACTAAGCAAACAAGTAAGGCAGGACATGTGCTAGGCAAAAACATGTACTTCATAATGTATCAGCATGTTACTGTCATATCATAAGTTTAAACCAAAATTTTTTTTTGTTTGTTTTGATAGGTATTTTATTAACACTTGATTTTGGAAGTTATGTTAGTCTGGGTAGACTAGAGAAACAAATTCATAGACACTCATGTGTATAAGAAAGAACTTTATGAACAAGCGTAATTGAATATTGAGGAAACATTCCAGCCCAGTCCAGATCAAGTCCATAAGTCCAATATTAGCCCATATGTCCGATACCAATCTATAAAGTCCTCTTTAGACTCATGAAACACATGCAATGATGCCAGATGAAGAAAAATCACAGGCCAGTGGGTGGAAAATCTTGTGGATCCAGTGGCATTGGAAGCATCTCATCACTGGCAGGGATTACCAAGTGGCTCCTTCTGCTCCAGAGCTCTAGCGTCGCCCCATGTGTCATCTGCAGGAATTTCTCGCAGGGAGTAAGCATGTGTCCCACCTGCAGCAAGCTATTTTTCTTCTTTGTGCCTCCAAATGAGGTCATCAAGCTGCAACCCGATTGATCGGCTAGACTCCACCTCTTCACTCTTAAGTCTCAAATTGACAACAGATTACATAACAATCATAGAAGTCTTATCTTGATTGAACTTATAATAACTATTGTTGAGTTATGGTAATATTTAGCATCAATGCAAGACAGTATCTAGGAGTCAAAGTAAAATGTTTTCAGACTATATATTACGTGTGATTATTCAGCACACTTATGGATGCCTTTTAAATTAAATTACTGATTATTGAATTCACTTGGATTAATAATACATTTTCATTGGTCAGTATAGAATTATATTGCATTTAAAGGTATATGCTATTTATTGGGGCACATCTTCATGTGATTGCCTATTTTTAGTTAATAGTCATCTGTTCTACTATACTATATTCAGTTTTAACTTCATTATGAAAGAAATAATAATTGTTATTTAGAGTAGGATCAAACTAAAACCAATCCTTTAAAACACTTGAATATGTTTATATTCAAGATAGTGAATTAATGTGTAGTATGATAGTTGGATGTTTCAGATGCTAAGATAATTATAGTATATGATAACTGTTGGATTACAGAGCTAATGATATGTAGGGACTTTCAAGTAAATGTAATCATTAGCCTTAAGGTAAATATTATCACTGTCCTTGAAGTTGTGCTGTATTACTTTTGGAGACGCAAATAATACCTGACACATCTTACTAGACATTAACCAGCCTGAGATTAATCTCATATACATTTAGGCCAAAGTTGTTGAGGGAAAATGGTAGATTTTTAATATATACATTTATATTAAAAATTATATAGCTGCACTAAATATATACATATATATATAAATACAGAACAGATATAAAATTTAAAATACCTGTTAGTTTAAAATATAAATTATGGTCTCTATTATGTATAAATTACATGAAGTCTATCTCTGAAACATTCATTCATTTGTTCAACACATAATTATTGAACATGTACCTAGATCCTTGTGATGCACCAATGAACAAAACAGGCCTAATTAAATTCCATCCTGTGGTCATATCCCAGGCTGAAAATTTTGGCAAAGATAAAACTTAGGACAAGCATAGAATTAGGGGACACCACGGTTTCTATGAGGTGAACATGACAACATTGATGCTTAATTTCCTTCCTGATTAATTACCACATCTGTTTTAGTTTATATGAGAACATTCAATTAGTTTATTGTTCAGGGGAAATCTGTAAATGTTTAGACTATCTTTCCCATTGCTTAGCTTACTTTAGTTCTTTCTATTGTCTTCTATTTTAATTCGTCCAGTTACCAGACATTCTGCATCTATAGTCAGGGCTAACTGAATATTTAAATATTGAAACACTTTTCCCTTGAGATTGCTTTATCTGTTATTGTCCACGTTGGACTGTGTTCATCTGGGTTGACTAGAGAAACATTCATAGACACTCATATGTGTATAAGAAAGGGCTTTATATACAAGGGCAGTTGAATATTGAGAAAACATCCCAGCCCAGTTCCAGACCAAACTCAATTCCAGAACAAGTCCCCTTCAGTCTCAAGAAACACATGCAATGATGCCGAACACAGGAAGATCACAGGCTAGTAGGTGGAAAGTCTTGTGATTCCAGTGGTAGTGGAAACCTCTCATTCCTGGCAGGGGTCTCCACATGGTTCCTTCAACTCTAGGGCTCTAGTGGAGGTCCATGTGTCTTGTTCGGTGGAATGTCTTGCAGGGAGTGAGCATGTCCAGGGAGTTATTTATCTCCTTAGCGCCTCCAAATGAGGTCATCAAGCTGCGACCTGATTGACAGATAAACTCCACCCCATCACTCGTAAGTCTCAAATTGACAACAGATTATATAACTACCACATGGACATTGGAATTTAGACATATTTGCTACACAATTAGGTTAAACTAACTAGTGGATACTTTAGAGGGTTTTACTTTTGAGAACAAACTCATGTTTTCTTTTGCTTTGGACTTTTAATTTCCCAGTTCTTATTTCTGCTACATTCAAGTGGGTTTATTAAATGTGGCCAAGATATCATTTCCGTTCATTTTCTATTTCACAGAACCGTGTGTTTCTCAGTTGGCAAAAGTGGAGCAATATGCTCCCAGTTTAACATTTCATTATTGGTCAAATCCCACTTGTGGGGGCAAAGGCTAAGGAATTCACTTATAGTGATGAAATAACCTGGATGACTTTCATATAAGTAGCAACAAATGTGCACAGTCGTTACATTCCATGGTATATTTAACAACACTGCTAAAGAGTAAGATGAGAGCTAGTCTTTCATGATGAAGATGCACCTGAGTGCATGCAGAGGAAATTTGGTTCTGCAAGCTTGGAGGAAGTAATTGTCATTCAACAGAAAGCAACTAGCTTTGCATATCAGCAAAGCACACGCACACCCTCTTATCTGCTTACTCAGTGCTCTGCAACTGATAGGAAATAACAAATATATATTTATGAGAACTAGAAATGCCGCATTGTTTCTAGTCCTACAAACGCAATGTAATTATAAAATGAACTTGGAGAAAATTGAAAAAAGGTGACTTCTCAAGCCGGTGCAACTCCAATAAAATGACCGATGGTATAGCAGGTCACTTAGTTTTTATATTAACTTTTGCTCCTCTAAATGTCATGTTTTTAACCGTTATGTTGTTCCTTTTTTTTTTTAGACGGAAGACTGTATTTGAAAACTACTGTCATGTACTGAATCTTTCCTGGTGAAGAAATTCATGTTATGGTAAAGAACTTTGCAGTTTGACATTCGTCATTGGAAAGTTTGGAAAAAAATAAAGTCCTTTTAAGGGAACTTCCTCAATTTTGTGTATTAATGTTCTTCAAAAATTTAAGTATTCTCCAAAAAAAAAAAAACACCATACAATTTCTTCCATTGATTTTCAACTGTGGTTCATGCCAGAGACCTGAGAATGTTTATAGATGTACAAGTATCAAGCTTCTTACTGTTCATAACCGCAACTTTGCTGCTGGACATTTGCATACAGAGTTAGAGGCAGATCTAAATAAGACCTAACTTTGTTTTGTTTTTTAATGGAATGAACCATTTTCCTCTCCTGACCATTCTGTATCTGAGCACATCAACAGACTCTCGTAGCGCTGGTCACCCAGACTTACAGAACTACGTCCTCCAGAAACCAGCAAGAACACTTGGGAATGAGCTTGTAGGGGCCACTGAGGATGCCTGGGGGAAAAAAATCCATAAAATAAAGAGTAATATTCTGTTACATTCAGTTACAAACTCTCTAATTATGGGTTTTCTCCAGAAGATTTTCTTTCTACATACTTTCCAAAAGACCAACAAGTGGATGTTGACAAGCCAGTGAAATAACATTTTGCATATCTAAAAAGAAGCATTGACTATAAGCCAAAAGGTTTCATTTACGGTCTTCCTTTTTTTCCCCCTTAAAAATAATAACTAAAAGAGAAACCAACAACTCTATATAAATGCAACATGTTTTCATTTCAAACTGGTAGTGGTATATAGGATTAAAATAATAATGTTGTTTCTTATTCAAACTGTTGGTCACATGTACAGTATATAAACATAAAACACACAAGGAAGGTATTATGTATGCAGTAGTATACTAGAGGTAGGAAAATGAAAACTTTAGAAACTATGTTTTGTCACTCTGTTGGTCAGAAAGACACCTTTCTGGTTTTAACGCATGCAGGCATGTAAATATTTGTCTGGAGTCCCAGTATTAATGAATGAGCTCTTACACATCTGGTGACATCAGAACTCTCTGTCAGCCACTTGTATTTGTATATTGAACTGTAGTTGAGTGCCCCCAAACTGCACTATTGAGAATGGATCGTGGCTGAGCAGTAAATCAAAACACCAGAAATATTTTTATATGTTAATGTCATATTATGTTAATGTTGCTGGAAAAAAAAAGAAACCTAACAAACCCTTGATGTATCAGTCCAATACCATGTAGCTCTGAGTGATAAAGTTAAACTGTGTTGTGCTTCCCACCCTGGTCAGAGGGAGGGCTAGCTCCGTGCCCCTTTCACTGTCCTTTGGAAAGTTACAGTATGTGTTTTCAACTTCTGTGCAGATAACTGGAAGTAAAGCTGCAAACGACGCTTATCAGAGACCGATGTTCCCTTCTCTCTGTTTGTTACCTAGCTGGAGGGGCAACCTTTAAAGACTGGTAGTATGAGTCAGTACAATTGATTTTGCTGTCCTCTTAGAACTTTTTGAACTATTTATTTCCACAAGGCAGCAAAATCTTTAATGTCTCAGCACATTAGACTAAAAATGCTTAAATTTTGTTCTGATTGGCGATTATTATTTGGTTCACAACTTAAAACATATATGATAGCCACTCTGGCCCTGGGCTTCTTTAGTTTTTAGGCCTTTGCAATACTGGAGCATATGTCTTTTGTGTAACTCACTATTAAACAACTAAGTTCACTTTTAAAAGACAAACAAAAAATGTTATAGACACAGTTCCTATTTTAGCTTGCTTTCAAAAGGAGCAGTATTTTTATTTAAAATATTATTAGTAACTGCTTTGTAGTAACCCACTTTTCTAAAGATAGTTTTCCCTACCTCTTTTTGTTATTTGAACATAAGAGATTCGACTCCTAGATGTATGTATGTTTTTCCCCATATATGCAGTCTTTAAAGGATGACAATATAAAAATCGGATGGACTTGTGGCAAGCTTTTAAATCATACATTTTTGAACGATTTTTGAAAGCGCCTACAGTTTGCATATGTAGTAGAATCAGCCATTGCTCTGCTCCTTGCATAGAGTCACCTGTTAAATAGGTTAAATAGTTTTAATATACATCCTATCAAGACCTTTGAGAATGCGTAAGAGTTTGCTTCAACGTAAGAGGACATTTTAGCAAGGATTAAAGGAAAAAAAGCTATCAGGTATATGTTAAGAGTGAATCTTACTAACATGTAAATATTACAACTCATGAAATGTTATTGTAAGTCTGTAACTTAAGGTGGTTTTTTTGCCCTTTTTGTTTTCAGTTATGCAGGTTGGTTTGGAGATTTTTCTGTTGGCATAGACAAGTAATATTGTGCCCATTTTATGGTTTTCATGCTTTTATAATTCTAAAAATATTAATGTCTAGTTGTCCTATATTATAACCACATTTGCGCTCTATGCAAGCCCTTGGAACAGACATACTCATCTTCATGTAGGACCTATGAAAATTGTCTATTTTTATCTATATATTTAAAGTTTTCTAAACTGATAAAAGGTTATTACGAATTTTGTTGTACAAAATCTGTACAAAAATCTGTTTTTACATCATAATGCAAGAATTGGAAATTTTTCTATGGTAGCCTAGTTATTTGAGCCTGGTTTCAATGTGAGAACCACGTTTCCTGTTACTGTATTTAATTTTCTTTTTCTTTTCAACAATCTCCTAATAAAACTGTCTGAAATCTCCCTGTGACTTTATTTACAGTTGGTCTTTATTAAATTTTGTGAAATGCCTAGCATGGAAGGAATATTTACTTTCTAATGGGAGGCATCTAAAAACACCACAAGTCAGCTCTTTGCAATGCGAAGGGAACAGTGCTCAATGATTTTATTTAACATGCAACTGCTTCTATCTCTAATATGAATGACTGTGGGGAAAAACATCATAAAAGCACCCTCTGTAGTTATTGTTTAACAAGCAGATTTTCCATAGTTTGTTTCTTGCCAGCTAAGCAAACTGCCCACATATACATGATTTATTTATGTACATTTCCCAGTTTATGAAGCTGTTATTTGTACCTTTTTCCTTTATATTCTTTATTCCCATGATTCTTATTTCACAAAGCTTTTGCTGAATAATGTAAAGTAGACATGTTGATAGAACGAAATATATTATTCCCTTATCTATGAGAGAGTAGATTTGTAACTCTAACTCAGTGTCTTGCTTTTGATCTCTATCAGTGCAAAACATGCCTTGAGGCCCTTTGGAATTCTAATGTCCTTAATCATATTCAAACATTTTCATCAATCCAAAAGGTGGCCTTTGAAGAAATACTGGGTTGCTACTTCTGTGACTACTCTAAACATTCCCAAGAGAATGGAAATAGTTGGACCGTTTTTTTTTTGTCTAAAGGAATTATTTTAGTGCGCTCTTGAAATAGTATATTAACAGATTATGATTTTTCCATAATAAAAAAAATTTTTATGTGACCATTACAAACACATTTTGTCCCCTGTCATCATGTGTTTACAGTCGCAAGACTTATATTCTAAAACATAAGATCTACGGATGTTAGAATTCGGTGATAATTTAGGTGTCTTCCCCCATATGTTTTCATTAAGACTGAGAAATTTACAATCTACTCATAAGCTATTTATTACTAGAGAAATAAGTTATGAATAAATGTAATATGGACTGTATTTTTAATTACGGGAAGTAGAGATATTAATGGAATTAAAACACATTTGTAAATGCCATTGTAAAAACACTATTTGTAAAACATTATTTGTTTCTTCTGTGCAGGCTTGGTGCTAACATTTATCTTTAGTATGTATGACACACATACAGAATCGGAGCTCATACTCACTCATTTAAGCCTCATTCATTAATAAAGACTGTATTCTGCACAAAGCACGAGGCCAGATGTTATCACATCTACAGTAAGAATGTTGAAAATATAGCTCTTTGCAGAGCTCGTAATTTTGTTGCAATGGAAGCCTCACTTTAATTAAGAATTCTTTTACACAGCACATCCTCTGGAGTGGATGTAGAACTGTTATTAAGCAGGGATTGATGTAGAGCCTTTGCCACCAGGTTTTCCCAGTCAACAGCCCGTTTTATCAGAGTCCGTCAGCCTTCTAGAGAACAGAACAGGATGGTTTGGGAGTCGGACAATTGGGAAGATATTGAAAGAAGGGAAATGCCCTTCTTCCCCCAGGATTAGTTCTGCTTCTCGTGTTCTCTGTCGGGCATTCCAATCACAGGATTCTACTTACCAAAGGTTGTTCAGTGTTTCATCAGGAAAAAAAAAATAGTATATGTGGACTGTTCAGCATAGCTGTACAACATTTAGTTTTTATCACACAGCATCTGCATATCAAGGGCCCCAAATGACACAATCATAGAAGATAAACGTGTAAATGCCAAATGAATGCTTTAGGCAATGAATGACATTTGTAGTGACAGCATCATTCACTTTTATAGATTAGTGAGTTGGAGGTTTTGAGTTGACCTATTTGATCAGTTAGGACTTCCCTGGTTGCATATCATGCCAGCAGATAGTTAAGAGGCTTAAAAAGATAAGGAATTGATAGAAAGCTTTGGGGTACACATGGGGCCCTAACACAGGGTTGCAGCTATCCCCCAAGGACTGAGGCCCTGGGTCTACTTTCACATTTCTGTTCCTCTGGATGACACTACTTCTTGCTTCTCCCATCACAGAGCCACTTTCTTCCCTTCCATTTTTGAGGAATAACGTGCAGCTCACACATTTAGATCTTTCGTTCTCACCCATCCCCCGTTAGAGTCCTAAGAGTTCTTTCTGATTGCCTCACCTGGGACCACATGCCAGAATGCATTGGCAGTACCTTACAAGCACCTGGGGAATTTAAGGCTCTATTACATCTCAGACACAAACAAAACTCACGGCCATCGAATCAGTGCTGACTCATAGCTGCCCTGATCAAGCTTGATTCTATGCTATTTGAGCCTCAAGTGATTCTAATATGCAGCTGAGTCCTAGGATCACTGTGAGATAAAGGCACGTTATCACATTATTGGCGGCCACTGTGGGGATCCGTTGAGGTGTTGATTGAGGGTTCTGTGAGCGCTGCTGATACTACATGCAGTGAATCATTTTATAAAATCAAATGTTTTCAAAATGTAATTTTGAAATGAATATGAACTTGTGATTGTCCCTTGCAGATTCAAAATCTGATGCCAGTATCAATTATACAGAAGGTAAAAAAGAACAAAAAAACTCGTGATCCTTATTAGGCCTTCCCTCTTCTGAATGTCGTGTGCCTCTTCCTCACACACCTTTTGGGCAAAACTCGCTAAAGGTCATGTCTAGGAGGCAGCTTTTGCGAAGCAACCCAAAGCCACTGAAACCAATCAGCTTTAAACTGCTAGGATTGCAGAAGTGAGAACTAGACCACTGTCTGATCTGGGTCTTCTTGTTGGTACAGGAAGTAATGAGGACCATTATAAATGGGAGCCTATAGAGGAGGCAGGAATGGAGCGAACTGGGTGTAAAATGTTAATATCAGTTGATTGTGATAAAGTTTCCAGAATGCAGCATCTAGAAGCATCACCACGTACCCCTCCTAGCGCAGTTGTTGACCCGTGGGCCAGCAGTCACTCTCCAGAAGACAGACCCGGCTTCCTGCTCCTCTACAAGCTGCACAGCATCGGAGACCCTACAGAGCAGTCCTGTTCAGCCCCATAGAGCTTCTTGGTAAGGGTATTATAAAAACAATCTGTGTCAGGGTATGCACTCATAAACAGTATAGACAAATCAAAATAGAAGTCAATGTTACAGTGAAGTAAGTTTACAGATAAATAGTAAATCTCTTTTAGCAATGGACTAGTTTTCTACTAATTTTACCTATTTTCTAGTGATTTTCAACCACTTTCTGAATGTTTTGGCTTTCTGAATGTTTAACTGTGCTAACTTGTCAACCAAATACTGTCAGCTGGATTGTTTATCAGTTAACTTGGTTGGTGTCCTCAGCATTGTACATACTTGTTTTCTATTTAATCATTTTACTCACTTTAAATCATGTGTTTCCAACTAGCAGCTTGGTAAGCAAATGAATCTCAGCATTTCAATGGTAACTACGA